ATGAGGTCACTCCCACCCCCTTTCTGGAGTTCCATGGGAGCTCCAAAAGCATGCAGGAGCAGGTGTCCATCACAGGTATATGTGGATAAAACATACAACTAATTTCTACAGTATTTAAACAGTAATTTTTAATTAACAGTATTTTAACAGTACTCTTGAGGCCAGTGTTTGCATACTAATTGTTTAGGTTCTTTTTTTAGAGACTTGTTCCCTATACATTTCTGCAGTTGTTCTTAATATATGACACATCTACCTATTGACCGTACTTAATGAAGTACATACTATTAAAGTACAGCATAATGGACACAGCCACAGTATTTTAAATGCACTACAAATCTAGCATGTACTATAAATGGGTTAGGGTTAGGGTTAGGGTTGTCAAGCTCCTGAAGTTTGCAGATGACACTACAGTCATCGGTCTCGTATGCTCTACAAAACCAATACGAACTGCTTTGTGAAATGCTTCATATAGTTATTTCATTACTCAAATGGGCTGTATATCCAGATAATGTACATGAAAGGATGTGCCATCAGGACAGAATCATGTTCTGTGTGTTCAGAGGAGATCACGCGGGACAACGGAGGCTCAGACTTTGCCTGGGCAGAAGATGAGGAGACCCGTGGCCGGCTGTGGAAAGCCCGTCATGATGCGTGGTACGCTGCTCTGGCCCTGAGGCCTGGATGTAAGGTGGGAACATTCACTGCAAAATGATTCTGACTCAGACAAGTGCTATTTATCTTCTTGTAACTTAGAATATACATTTTATACTGACTAATGGACTTTTTATTATTGTATAATTATCATGCTTTTGTTCTTATTTAGTTTGCAATAGTGCATAGTGCACTGTAAAAAGAATGACTGTTATCAAAGAGGTTTCCCAAACACTGCCATTGATCAACCAAACAGATAGCCCCTCACGTCATTGGTTGAGCCACTGTTGCTATGCTGGGCTGGTCGGAATGCTCAGACAAACAGCAGTGTTTTGTTAGCACCACAGAGACATTTTTATTAAGGAAAATTAGCCAACAAATGGCTTAATTATAGTTATGAATGAATTTAAAGTTGTATTAGGACAAAGTTTTTTCAAAGAAAAATTACACACATTTTCCAAGCATATTCTACATATTTATGAGTGCTCTCTCAACTACCTCATGTTACAGTGAAGACAAAAGAAGATCTAATTAATAAAAACGTACTAAAATAATATAATAATAACTATATTAGAATTTACTAAAACAATATAAAAATGATAATATAAATAATATTTTTTATTTCTTATTCCAGTCATAACAGTACATATATATTTGCTTAAAAATCATGACTGTTTCCAACAGGTTTCCCAAGCATTCTGCCATAGGTCAGCAAAACCATTAGCCCCGCCCCAAACTCACACCATTGGCTGAACCAGTTGCTATGCTGGGCTGGTCAGAATGCTCAAGCAAACAGAGCAATGTTATGAAAGCACCACACAGCCACAGTTAAAATCTATTTAGAGAAAACAGCCTACAAATGGCTTCTTATGAATATCATGTTAGAAAAGGATTACATATTCTGAACTCAACACTTTACAAAAATGTACTCATTTTCTTACAGGCATATTCTACGGATGTCTGTGTGCCAATCTCACGACTGCCTCAGATTATAGTGGAGACAAAGGAAGATCTAATCAGAAACAATATTACCGGTAGTTTACCAAGTTTGATTTTCTCATTTAGTGTTGAGAACTGTTTTTAACTGCTGATATAATATATTTATATTTTTCCTACTGTAGGTCCTATTGCAGGTCATGTGGGTGATGGAAACTTCCATTGTTTAATAGTACTGGATCCTAATGACCCAGACGAGGTGCAAAGGGTTCACTCCTTCACTGAGAGACTAGCCAGGTATTTCTATTTCATTCCTTTCAGCAGTTTTGCTCCCTTACAATGATCCTCTGAGGTAGCTGAGAGGGTCTTGGCTGCAGCTTTTGTGTACATTGTCAGTTTTGTTTTGTGTAGCAATCAATATCAGGATTATTTCTCCGTGTCTTCTGCCATTTGAAGAGCGTTTATTGACAATGACAGACATAGAGGGTCTAGTGTCTGGCTGTGGAAACAAGCACAAATAATAAAGGTCCTACCTGCCTTAAGTCATTACGGTTAAAGTGCAGTCTCTGTCGGATACAATGGACGAGTGATCGGCAACGACCAGCAGCCAAAGAGAAGACAAAAACTGAGATCTCATTTGTGAACTGCCCTTTTTGTGAACGACAGACATGGCTTTACTGTAAAAGCACAAGTTTGCAAAAACCATAGCCATATTAACTGCCAAAGGAGTGTTTGCATGCTGAAGTTGCAAATTTTATTGAGTTGAATTTGTGTGGAAACTTAAGCAGAACAATGTGAAGAAATTGAAATGGATTTAAGGCTTGTTACCTGGAAGTGCAGAGGAACTTGGCCAGGTTTAGTTAGATGAATCTGTTCAGTCAATTCAACTTCAATAACCTTCTGTCTTTTAAAGGAATGTGCTGGGTTCAATTAAAAGCTGGAAACTGGGCATTGTATACTAAACGACTGCGGACTTTCAAATTGTTCCGAATACAAGAAACTCAGGCAGAAACTTACTCCTCATTGCTAAGAGACATACAACAAATGAAAACAATGTCTTCTAAAATTGTATCAAAATATTAATCATGTTTGATTTCCTCAGAATGGATGAAATTTTAGTTTCAAGCTAAAAAATCAAAATCTGTGCCCATCATTAACATTGTTGGGGGTAATGCATTACAAGAAACATGAGTTATGTAATCAGATTACTTTTTCCAAGTAACTAGTAAAGTAACACATTACTTTCAAATTTACAACTAAATATGAGTTACTTTTTCTACGCAAGTTACTTTGTCTCATTTATTCACTAACACCTCTCCTGTCCCTGTGTTGGGAGAAATTGGGAGTGAGTTCCATAAGGCTGAGACACTTCCTTCAGCCCGAGGCTTATTAATTTCACTTTTGGTGTGAAAGGGTCCTTGCAGTTGCCAAAAATATAACTTTTGGGTTTTTTGTTATTAAAAAACAAATAAGCAAGCCCAACCCAGGTGACAAAAAGTAACATAATACATGAATTTCTAATTAAAAGTAACTAAGTAACATGGTTACTTTTTATGGATTAACACAGTATTATAATGCATTACTTTAAAAAGTAACTTTCCCCATCACTGATCAGAAACTATGTAGTTTCCTCTCAAATCTGTTAACTCCAACTGCCCAGCGTCTGCAGACTGGCTTTGACATTTGCCAACTAGCAGCAGTTCCTCCACACTGCAAATCTGGGCAAAAATCGCATAGTGTATCGGTAGCATTTGATCCATAATTTCACTTACTTCACAAAATCATTCAGACTTGTCCTATTGCATTACAAATTGTGGTTAGAGTATATAATACAAGGTGTACCTTGTCATGTCGAACAGTAAGAACCTGCATGAACAAGATGAGTAGGTGTTGGATTTCTGCTGCGCCAGGGAGCCCCCAAGACCAGTCTTCATCATTTAATTGGAGAATGTGGAGGTGGAAACACCTGGGAATATGAATTGGACTGGACAGACAGCTCAGTTGCAGAGATTCTACTTCCTGAGGAAACTTTGGTCTTTCGGTGGTTGCAGACTGCTAAACATGTTCTTCCAGTCTCCCAGCCACACTGAGGTCTTTTGGGGGAACAATGTCAGATCTGGTGATTCCAAGCATCTTAACTGATCAAGATGGCCAGTTGTGTTCACCCTATTTATTGCCAGTAACAATTACAGTGGATGAATTTATTTTCTTGTTGTCTTTCCCTATGCAGGAGGGCACTGGCGATGGACGGAACTTGCACTGGTGAACACGGGATTGGTCTAGAAAAGCGGGCTCTGCTCAGAGAAGAGGTCGGTCCATTGGCCATAGAGGTCATGCTGGGCCTCAAGGCCACTCCTGGAAAGGTGTTATAATTAATGCAAACCAACACAGAACACTGAAGAAGATACTCTGCACTAGGCTTTGACCACTAGAGGTCAGGAGAATGAGGTTTGTTTTAGATTTTAAGAATGCTAATGATGTAGACTTGAGTGTTTTCAAAATCTGCACATGCAAAATATAATTTTTGTGAAAAGTGCATATGATTTAAATAATTTCTTATGTAGTATTATTGTGAATACACAGTATTAATGTACAGGGCTGTAATAATGTAATTATTCCATCCTTTTCTTTTGCATGGGGCAGTCTCACACCACTTAAATATGAATTAAAGTGAAATCATTGTGCCTTGGCAAACTTGTGCTTATTTGGGCCATTTGCCCTTCTACATTTCTGTGAATATATTTATTTATATGGATATATTTGCTTCTAAAGAACAGAATCTGTGAAGCAGAACTCAAAATAAGGACTGATAAAATAAATGTGATACAGAAAATGCATTTTAATAAACTGAAAATAAATTGATTACATCAAATGATTTTGTCTCTTGTTCTTTCTTAAGTGACTGTTTTTGAATTTAATTGACCCTTTTGTGTGTTTGCAGTGGGCTTGTCCATAAAAGAAAGCAACATCTGGTCTTATTTCATCTTGTTTTAATTATATGTATGATCATCATCATTATTACTTGTCCCACAGATTGCACATCGAAATCATCAGACACTTAGTTTGTACACTCCTAGAAACAGGCATCCGTTCATGTCCCTGGAAAAGAAAAACATACAAAATGACTTGATTTGAATGCAAAAATAAGAAAAGGATGGGTTTCGAGAGTGCCGAGTCACTTTCCGCAGCCCATGCTGCACAAGATAGTACTACGCTACCTGACTCTGTTTTTATTATTTGTTTGATTTGTTTTACAAGGTGAGGCGAAATTGTTATCCATTGTTTTGATGGATGGTGTTTGTATGCCCTCATTTACAGGCACAAAGCAGGAAAAAAAACTCAGAAATGCTCTATTTCTATCCAACACAAAAAGTAATAGGTTGTCAGATATTTTCTTGCGGTTATTTTTTTTCTACCTTTTTCATTTTACTCCTTTCTCCTTTTTTATTTGTTTTGACTTTTTTATTTTTTACAATTACAGCAACATTATTTTCTAACAGTGCTTGCTGTTTATACAGTAGACAGAGGCATCCTGAAGGTTAAATAGATTTCTTGTGAGGTTTCTCACAGATTTTTCAAAAATAAAAAGTAAATGCAGATCATAGAAATGATCTTGTAATAGATTCACACCAGTATATCTGGGCTTTACATACAGTAGTGAAGCAACATTAGCTTACCAGACGCAAGCTGGCCGGTCACATAGAGAAAACATGGGAGGATGGACAGAAGCTGAAATCACACACACATACATACACACCCACACACACTGAATACGTACTCAAGGCTTTTACAGGGAAACTGTCTGAATATTATGGTCGGCGCTTCATAATAACTGCCCAAAAAATTGCAGATGAAACTAGGAAAATAGCTTTGAGCTTCTTATCGTTTCAGAATCCGTAGGGGAAAGACATCTACTGTGAATTGTAAACATTTGAAGACAGACCGAGAGTGTATCTTTCTCTCCATTCATGACCGTAAACCCCCATCCCAACGCACATGCTGATGTCTTGGACTTCCTCTGGCACTAACAGGAAACACAATTTACACATTTCCCCGCCTGTGGACACATGATCACACACATGCACACACAGAATAACTAAATATACGTCCACCGGCTGTCCAACACATCACTAATGAGTGAACCGCACACACAAGACTCCTCCCACAAACCAGGTGTGAAACCCCGCCCCTGCCACACCCCTCTAATCAGCATCGTTTGATTGACAGGACAGGTGTGGCCTCTGGATTGATTTGCAAAGCGTGGTCTACTTCCTACTTGTTTACAGCATATGCCCTGCCCATTGTGTTGCCCCGCCCCCTCTTCCCCATCTCCTTCCATCTGATTACATACACAAGGAGAGAGGACCTGGTCAGAATGCAGACTGAACACACGTCGATAAGAACACAGAGTATGTAGAGGGGGCAAGAAAGCGAGACGTTTTCCAAAGCCAGAGATCCGGTATTGGTGGTTTTGCCGTGAAGGGGCCGGTTAGCAGTTTAGCAGTCTCTAGCACAGCAGGCAGGAGATTCTGGGATTCTGCAAGTGGTAATGACGGTGTTGGCTGGATGAACGCTTTTATTTGGTTCAGTTTTGCGATGACACATTTCCGTTTCCATAGGTTTTGATCGAATTGGTTGGTAGATTGATTTATTTGGTTATTTTTGTGTCAGGATATCCAGGTTTAGGTCCATAAAGTGCCCTATAGTAAGAGAAAAAAGAGACAAAGATGGAATATGAGAGTCATACTGAGCCCGAGGGTGTTTTCACACTTGGTTTATGTCAGGGGTCTCGGGAGGTGGTCTAAGCGTGGTTTGCTGTAAGTCAGCTTGTGTGGGTGACGTATAAAGTGCATTTATACATAGAAACACAAGCATGTTTAAGGTTTAATTTTGAAGCGTTTACTCGACCGCCTTTCAATACCATGTCAATGAAGAAATTATAGAAAAAAATATAAAACACTAATAGAGTGGTATTAAGTTTAGATCTTTGTAAATGTGATTTTTTTTTCAGGTCTATAAAGTGCCCTAAAGTAAGAGGAAATGAGACAAAGAAGAAATATGAGTTATACTGAGCCCGCGAGTGTTTTCACACTTGGTTTATGTCAGGGGTCTCAGGTGCTAGTCTGCAAATGGTTTGCTTTAAGTCAGTGGTGTGTGTGAAGTATAACGTGCATTTATACATAGAAACTCAAGTTTGAAGCTTTAACCAGATTGCTTTTCAATATCGGACCAATCAATAAATTACAGGAAAAAAATCCTATATAAAAATAAAAATAATTATTATATAGTATTATATCTTATGCAATATTCAACTTACTACTACTACTACTAAAAATAAATAAATAAATAAATAATACTTAAGTATTATTGTTAGTAATAATAATAGGAGAGTTGTCTGAGTTCTAGATGTTTGTGAAAGTTGAATTTTTTAGACTAGAGGACACAAGTGTAAAAACTTGCATTTGCATATTATTACTGTTATTTGTGATATTTTAACCTTAATAATAATTAAAAATAATAATATTCTATTGAAGTGGTCTGAGTTCTAGACCTTTGTAAACATGGATTTTTTTAGAGGACTTAAGTGTTAAAAAAGTGTTTAATTAGCAAAATAATAATAATAAAAAGTGGTCTGAGTTCTAGAGCTTCGTGAACACAATTTTATATATAGAGGTCTCAAGGGTGAAAACTTTAAGGTGATACTTTCACATTTACTACATGTCTAAAAATGCTCCAAAGGTGCGTTTACGATTAAAAAAAATCCTGTGTTGCTTCTCTGGAAAATGCTTTCTATAGTCTATTTAAAAGTGGTGCACTGAAGTAATGAGATAATGCTGCTAATTACTGTTTGATAAAGTCAAAAATTCCAATATGAAAGGATTACTTGAAATATCAGATTATTGAGACACGTGTTTGCATGTTGGTGAATATTTGTGTGATGGTGTTCACCTTTCTCAGTGGTATCAGAAGTAGATGATGGAGGTCAGTCTGAAGGATGTTCAGGGCAGGAGCGGTTGATCTCAAACCAGGAGTCTATACAGCTAATGAAAAAGATGCTAACAATGTCAGCTTAGGTTCAATTTGAATGTAATTTACATCAGAAAAACAACCTTTCCATTAGCATAATGCTTTTAAATGATTCTACTAATGGTTATTAAGATGCGGTCAAGCATTAAATAATTTTGCTGTCCTCGCTAAAAGTGCAAGAAATGACTAAATCACAGCCAACATATTTGATGTTTAATATACAGCTATGTAGAGCAGGATTCTGGACTGGATATAGAAACCATGTAAGCAAGTGTAACAAATGTCTTGCCGGTTGCAGCTGGTTAGGCCAAAAATATTACGATTAACTTGGAAGTGATAGGATTTATCGGTTGTCACTTTATTGTGCCTCGCCAGGTTAGGACTGAGCGTATAACTTGCTTGTAGCAGATTAGTTTGATTGTGCTTCAGTATCTGAAAACATCTCAAGTGTGAGCTGCAAAAGAACGTCAGCAAGACATGTGGTTCACTTAAAGGTGTCTGAGGTTTGAGACAGACTTTCCAATACGTGTGCCATTCAATACCCAGAAGCCTCCTGCTGAGACACCATATCCAGGCATGAAATGTCAATCATATAGTTACATAATCACATAATTATATATAGGACATGACAAGGTTTGTGTTTCATGATCAGCAAAAAGCTGTAACATTTCCTGTCATGTTTAAGATCAGACTGACACAGGGTTGGACACAATGAGGTCTGTCATTATCACAACCATTTTACCAGTACTGGTGTTGATTAAAAAGGTATTAACCATATAAACTGCGCAATAAAAACGGGGAATCTGATAGTAAAGTAGAGGACAATGTTGCTGTCCATCTCACCTTTTGTGATAGATACAGAGGCACGGCAGTCTAGCGATGGTGTCTCCCTGCTGTAGCTCCTCGAGACATATTACACATTCTCCTGCATCTCTTGACAACACGTCATCTATAACACATACACAGACACTCACAATGAGCACATAATGCAAACCTAAGAGACTGATATATAAACACTACCGTTCAAAAAGATTGGGGTCAGTAAGATATGTCAAAATAAATGCATACTTTTATTGAGCAAGGATGCATTAAATTGATCAATAAAGAAAATTTATAATGCTACAAAAGATTTCTATTTCAAATAAATGCTGTTCTTTTGAACTTTCTATACATCAAAGAAACCTGAAAAAATTATCTCAGTTTCCACACAAATGTTAGCTGTTTTCAACATAAGAAATGTTTCTTGAGCAGCAAATCAGCATATGAGAATGATTTCTGAAGGATCAGGTGACACTGAAGACTGGAGTAATGATGTTGAAAATTCAGCTTTAAAATCACAGGAATAAATTACATTTTAAAATATATTAAAATAGAAACAGTTATTTTAAATTGTAATAATATTACCAACCCCAAACTTTTGAATGTGATTTTTTTTAATTAAAGAGGTTTTCAAAAGACTATATGCAAATATGGTTATAAATAAAGAAATAAAATTAAGTGTAAATTAATATTTTTTTAACATATATATATTTTTTATAAATAAATATAACTGTTTACAAAAATATTACTTACATTTTACGTATTCCCTTTGGAGCACATTCATCCCATTTGAAAACTACATAAAAATTTGAGTACATTTTTACATAGTTTTCAAATGGGGTTTATTTACACTTCACTTATGTACAACCTTCACATAAACCCATTCTAATAAATGTCATATTTAGCTACCTGTGCCCTTCAGCAAGTAGGAAATTTACAGAAATTGAATAAAGTTATCAAACACTAAAGTCTAAATTAAATATAGATTAATCCTTAAAGGCACACTCCACTATTTTTGAAAATAGGCTCATTTTCCAACTCCCCTAGAGTTAAACAGTTGAGTTTTACCGTTTTCCAAATCCATTCAGCCGATCTCCGGGTCTGGCGGTAGCACTTTTAGCTTAGCTTAACATAGATCATTGAATCTGATTAGACCGTTAGCATCTCGCTCAAAAATGACCAAAGAGTTTAGATATTTTTCCTATTTAAAACTTGACTCTTCAAAGTTGCGATTTTCTAGGCCGATATGGCTAGGAACTATACTCTCATTCCGGCGTAATAATCAAGGAACTTTGCTGCAGTTAATCCAGAGAATAACAATTTTTTCTGAGACCGAGAGAAACCGAAATTTGGTAACTTCATGACTTAACTGATGACATAACTATGGCATTGCATGCTCGTAGTTTCATTTGCACTTTAAGGAATTATACACAGCAAGTGCCACTACATTTGTGCGTGCAAGTGAAGAGCACGTGCTACGAGCACAGTATGATGGCAAACAGGACAGGAACATTCTTTTACTGACATATGGCCTGACAACATCTCATCTGACCACAGTTCACTGTTGTTCTAGCTCTCTCGTCACCTGTACCTTTAATTCACGCTCGTTTGATTAGCACCTGGTGCTGAGGTGAAGTTGGAGTGCGCGTCTGAATAGTTTTTCAGTTGATGTGGTTGTAAAGACGTTCTGTGTCTACATAAACGCAATTCTTGTCAAGAAAAAAAGAGACAGAAGCAGCAGTTGTGAGTGGGGTGGCCCTAGCTCCGCCTCTGCATTAATTGCATTAAATATTTTTAACGCATTAAACTGAAAAAATTAATTGCTTGCGTTAACACTCTAATTTTGATGGCACTAATATTTATGTATTTATTAAGAATCATATTTCCATATAGTTTTCTGGGAAAAAAAACGTTAAAAACACCAACTACCATTCAAAAGTTTGAGATTGGTAAGATAAAAAACAAACAAACAATAAAACCAGTAATATTCCCCTTGTAGTACATGGACCCCATTTGAAAACACATAACACTTGTGTTTTTTTTTTGCAGCACAACTGTGGTACCATTACCAACATGTCACAACTTATGTCTGATTGGGATGTTTAATACTGGAGATTCATGAAAACATACTGTGTATTATTCAAAATGGCTTGTTTGCCAGCAGGGGGCAGCGGTGAGTAAAGACGCATGAAATGCCGTTTACAGCGTTCCTCCGCTTTCTCACTCACAGTGACGGCTGGTTATGTGAGATGGGTTGGCAGTTAACATAACTAGTTACTCATGGTTCATTGCTGTGTGAATGTTTGTGGTGGAGAGATGACGACGAGGTGTATACTTATTTTCTGCTAATAGCTTAAGGGCAACAACCAACACGATTTGACTCGCATGCCCATACCAGCATAATGACTCAGACACATACACAAATACACCGTTCTCAGACAGTTTTAGTTTCCAGTAAAAGTCTTCTTCACAGGAAATGTGCCTTTCGTATAAACGTGCACAGCTTCCCCTGGAAACACCTGTGTGTGTGAGTGTGTGTTTCTGTGGGTGTAAATGTTTGGAGTGTGGTTATTACTGACAGAAGGTTAAAGAATCATCACGGGATAATGGAGTTCGTACAAAAGCAGGATGTTGATTGTGGGTTAACCCGCTTTCCCAGAATGCTTTAGGATCAATCTCACGCTACAGAGGTGCAATACCACCTGAAAGATGTGTCACAAATTAGTTTGTGCCGTTTCTTCTATAATAGTTTATTGGTACATTTAGTTTTTTATTCAGGTTTCCTATTTCAGTTTAGTTTCAATGAACAATAACAAAATAACTTTTTCGGCCAGCCATCTGCATTGTTGAAAAAGCGCCGTTAGGGCACCTGAGGTGAAGATGGGGAGATGAAGCTCCATTGTTTTGTGTGCAGGCAGCGGGCAGACGGGACAAGAGATAGATTGCAGTTTAGAGAGGATGTGATGGAGAGAGAGAGAACGACACGGGTGGAAAGCAAGAAGAGGTGAGCTGGGAAAAACAGGAAATGATGGCTGGAATGAATAGAGAACAGACAGCAGACATATGCTCCAAATACAAATCAGCTTAGCAAGGCGACGCAGTACGGGAGACCAGGGGCAATTGTAACATGCTGCATTTCTTCAAAGTTAGGCTGATTTTAAACTTAAATATGTTAAGTATATAAATAATTGACACAAACACTACTGTTAAAAAAATTTACATTTTTAAAAATATTGTTGTCTCTTATGCTTACCAAGACTGCATTTATTTGATCAAAAATACAGTAAAACAGTAATATTGTAAAATTTTATTACAATTTAAAATAATTGATTTTTATTTGAATATATTTTAAGATATAATTTATTCCTGTGATGACAAAGCTGAATTTTCAGCATCATTACTCCAGTCTTCAGTGTCACATGATCCTTGCTGCTCAAGAAACATTTATTTATTATTATCAATGTTGAAAACAGTTTTGGTGATTAAAAATTTCATGGAAATGTGTTTTTTTTTTTTCAAAATTCAAATGAACAGCATTTTACTTGAAATAGAAATATTTTGTAACATTATAAATGTCGTTACCGTCACTTTTGATCAATTTCATACATATTGACTGAATAAAAGTAAGCTTACTACTGTACATACTGTATATTATAGTTATAATTAATTTATTATTTTTTTAAATAATCAAATAATTGTAATGCATTTGAAATAATAATTAAATGTCCCACTTAAACTTATGCTTTATTATTTTTGACAAAATAAATAAATATATAAATAAACTTAAACATACAAAAATAACACAAAGGATAAAACTATACAGTAATAATTAATGTTGGATATTATTTAAGATAAAATTGGCAAATATTTTCAAGTGTTACAATTCCCTTTAACCTCATTACAGTGACAATTGCAACACTCTTTAATTCAGTATGATTATATTTCTCATTCTAATTCTTAAGTATTAATAGTATAGTTACTTTTTGCCATTTAAATGTCTTCTATTAAATATATATTAGACAGATGTGTAGTTGTTTGTGAGTTATGAAGGGATTTATGTAAAAAATTGCAACTATTCTAACTCTTCAAAAAATTCTCAAATGCTGTCGCAATTTTCCAGACGCTGGTCCCAGCAAGCCAAACATGCTGCCCTTTCCCCCCACACATCCCTGGACAACAGCAGGACGCACACCCTCCAGCACTTGAGCTTGTTATCCTCTTAGGGCCGATGACTTCAGCAGCTCAGACGAGCTGCACTAGTTTACAGGAATGGACAGGTGTGTGTGTGTGTGTGTGTGTGTAAGAGAGAGAGATCAGTCGCTGGTTAGGCCTTTTTAGTTCAAGTTGTTGGTAATCATGTTCCCCATTCTTTCCGCTAGCTGTCAATTTGTGCTTTTCGGTTCAGCCCCTGAAATGTTAACGCTATTACTTTGACAGCAGTTTTGTGTGTGTATCACCATCTGAAGGGCCCGTGTGAGCTGGCCAGTGTGTCTTTTCCAAGTCAGGACTATGCATGATGATATTTTAATACCTGCTGTTAAATTTAGCTCTCACATGGGGAGGGGGATGAGAGAGAGTTTTTCAGAGGGCAGAAAAACATTTCTGCTGCACAATGTTTTCTTCATGGTCTCATGGCTGAAAGAAAAATATCTATCTATAATCTGGTATAACACAGCACTAAAAAAAAAAAAAAAAAACATTTATAAAAATCAAATTCAGATTACCTGTTGCTATGAAGGAGAAAACCCTTTTCAGTGACAATTGTAACACTCTGAGATCTTTCATTTAATTCAATATTATTATACTTCTCATTATAAGTCTTACAACACAATTACTTTTTGCACATATAAATATCAACGTTTCACTAAACGATTAGGTGAATGAGTTGTTTATTTGGTAAACACTCTGATTCAGTGAACAAGTTGTTCCTTCAGTCAACACTCCAACTGAGTTGTTAACTCACTAATTATTTGGACTGTTTCATTAGGTGATTTGTCAGATCGATTCAGAACACTTTGAACATCACAAAAAAGTAGCGCTGTATTTTATAGAGAACAACACAATATAATATCCATCCATTATTTTGTGACTGCAAGTTCTGAAATACATTGAAAATCACACTCAAAGCATATAATTATTTTGCTATCTGCTGAATATTATTATTATAATGAAATCTCCTCGACTTTGATACCATCTCCTCTGGGGTGATACATGTATTAGTTCAGGGTTAATCCAATGTTACATCTAGCATTAGTCCAGGGTTATTTCCCTGCCTGGATCAATACAAACGGGTGGATTAGTGTTCACAGAGAAATGGAGGGCTAGCGGGCACAAACCATAGTGTCAAAAGGCAAGCAAAGTGTACATACTGCATTCACAGACAGCGGCTTTTACAGTGAGCCAGATCTGCTGATGTGTGACTGTCACTGGCTGCAGTTGACAATGGGACAGAGTGCATTGTGGGAAATAAGATTAGCTGCAGAGTGTTCTGGTCTGGTAATGTCACTGACTTGAACATGGTGAGGTCAGTAAGTGACAAAATGATAAAACGAGGGATTAAATAGAAGCAAAACAGATGAAAAGGAAAGGAAAGCAAGTGTTCTTGCTGTTTGCAACTGGTATTAACATGCATAACCTGTATTAATTTACTTTTAAAGGTGCCTGTACATTTAAAAGCCTTGTTTTAGGTCAATAATTATTGACAAGTAAGCCAAAAGGCATCAAATTAATGTTTTTGTGAAGAAAGATCATGTGACACCAGTAAAGATCAGATGCATCGCTCCGGGTCACCTTTAGCTCAAGCTGGGTTGGACAGCTGTCCCTCAGTCAGGTAGCTGTCAGTCAGACATCCGTCCAACCCAACACAGCTGTTACAAGCAGACACTACGCATGTCTTCGGGTCACTACAGCTATGTCATGTGTGCCACCTTCCTGCAAAGCTGCACTTGACTTACTGATCCAAAAGCTCAGAATAGATAACGAGCTAGTGTTGCTTGTCAATCTATCACCTCGCTTCTTGAATTATACAGATAAAAAAAAAACTTGTTTAGACTGCTGAAAATAAAATAAAATAAAATAAAAAAACATATAAAATGATTTTCATATAAAACATTTTCATATAAGATAATAGGTTAAGATTAAAATAAAACAAAAATTTAATAAAAAAAAACTTTTATTTTGTTTATATTAATTAATTTTACAATTATTAAAATTGCAATTATTTTCACATAAGAATAAAATAATAATGAAAAGAAAATGAAATAATAAAATGAATGAACTACAAAAAATAAAAGATCTAAATTATTTTAATATAATAAAATAGGATTATAGGTAATAGATAAAAGGTTTAGATTAAAATGAATTTGAACATCGTAATTATTTTATAAAGTATAAAATGATATAATATGTTATAATTACTTTAAAATGATTTTAAAAAAACTTATTTTCTTTTAGATGTTAGAAGTCAGTTTATTTGAACTTAGGGCTCAGTTTTAAATTAATTGACCAAAGCATAAAAGATAAAATGTAATCAAAGTTGACCTAATTTTTAATATATATTTTTTTAAATTGAGCACAATTCATCAAAGCTCTAAACAGTTTTCTAAAGAAAAAGTTTATACAATCGTTAAAAAAAAAGTTATCTAATGTAACCATGGACAAAAAATAATACAAATATTTAATATAGCCTAACATTGAACTTTGGCATGATTGATGAAAGGATTCAATGAAAACCCAATGGAAAAAAATCTAATATTGACCAATTTATTTCCCACTGAACATTCTATTTTACTCGGATATCCATCATATTACGGAACTTTAATGCAATGCAAATTCAGTATTATCTTACTAATAAGATAATATGAACAGTAATATCAAACATGGCTGGAGTAAAAATCCGTAGAGGAATATTTTGAAAAATTGACTGTAATTAGACAGCTTACAGATGCCATGAAACAGCAAATAAGAGTGTGATAAAAAATGGGTGACAAATGTCATATACAGTGGTGACCTTGGTTTCCCACGGCAAATCAGAAAGAGAGAGAGAGAGAGAGAGACCTAGATTTAGGGGTCATCCACAGTTCACAGACTCTTTTCAGGCCCGGAATGGAGTCACAGACCAGAATGAAATGGAGAATGAAAGGATAAACTGATATAGTGACACAAAAAAAGGAGGAAAATACTGCAGAGGATAGATGTTGAGATGATACTGCTGAAGTTTGCGGGAATAAGAGTGGGCGGAGACGGTGGGGGCGTGTCTTACCGTTGTAGGAGAGGCGGGGCTTGCTCAGACACATAATGAAGTGAACCTCCATCTCATTGGATGCCACTGATTTGGAGCAGACAGGACACTTGAATCCTGGAGAGGAATAAGGAAACAGCATTGTCAGAACTCTTGAAGCAGCAAGAAGCCAGCGGAATGAGCTGTGACAGTGATGCAGCAGTTTGATAACTGCCAATGCCATAATCCTGCGCAACATGTTTCTGTTGCCCTGCTGCAAATGCATTAGCTTGGCTTTTAGTATATTGACACAAAGCTTTTTTAACTTAAACTTACATTTTATAAACACATACATCAATGTCACTTGTTCAGCAATGTCATTATGACATCGGCAGCTACATGTTAGGCCGGTATTAGCAAACAAACAGACTAACATATGAGAGCATTGCCATCAAGTTACACAGTCTAATAATGCATAAATGGCTGATATTAAAATTCAATATTTCATGGGACTGGTAAGATTTTTTCATGGTTTTGGAAGAAGTCTCTTATGCTCAACAAGGCTGCATTTATTTAATAAAAAAAATACAGTAAAAATAGTAATATTGTGAAATATTATTACAATTTAAAACATTCTGTGAAGCTGAAAATTCAGCATCATTTCTCCAGTCTTCAGTGTCACATGGTCCTTCAGAAATCATTCTAATATTTGGTGTATTTGTTGTTTTCTTATATTTGGTGCTCAAGAAACTTTTCTTATATCGATGTAGAAAACAGTTTTGTTGATTAATAATTTTGTGGAAACTGTGATATTTTTTTTTTCAACTGTGAGAATATATTCTTTTATAAATATAAATGTCAAAACAACAATTTATTTGAATTAGAAAATTTTTGAATATTTTGATTAATTTAATGCATCCTTGCTGAATAAAATGATTAATTTCTTTAAAAAAACATTACTGACCCCAAACATTTAAGCAGTAGTGTAAATTCAAAATAGAAGACTAAAAATTTAAATCAAGTGAATTTAGGCTTCACAACATCTACAGTATGAAAAATGAATGGATATTAATTTTGATATTTGCTAAAAATTACATTTAACAGCGTTATTAAAAAGATTTACTTCATTTGAGCATTACATGATGGAAAAAGTAACAATTTACTATTCTAGGAAATGAGTATTGCACAATTGTATATTATAAAAAAAAAACTCTAATATCGGCCAATATGGTACCGTTAGATCCAGATCCAGGTCTTAAATTTATATTATTTTGAAAATATTCAAATTTGCCTTTGAAAATTATATATTTTGTATTGCAGTGGGGCATTTTTGTAGTTGCATTTTTGTAGACCTCTATTCACATGAACAGTAGAAACAGAAATGTAACTATTTAGTCATAATTTGAAGTGCCATATTTAATTTTTTGACAGAAATGAAAACAAGGCTGTGAGGGACAGAAGTACAGTGTGCTCAATGGATTGCTCAGCTGACAAAATCAGTAGACACAAACTCCATAAAATAGTTTTGAAAGTTGTGAGTTGGTGAAAATTACATGATCTGGGACCTTTATACAGTGCAGTCCATTGTAAAGACTGTAAGTTGATCCTTCACAGCATCGTTTTCATCTGCATTAAATTCAATATGGCGTCTAACTTATCTATTACAGTATGTCTAACCAGTCGATTATGCAATAAACCACAACACTAGCATTAGCAACCAATGGGAGCTTCCGCTAACACCCTGTCCTCTGACATCAACCGAAGGCCCGTAGGGGAAGATAGAAAGAGAGAGCCATTCACATATTAAGTCCCACTGAGCTGGGCTGTGTCCTTCATAAACACAGACGCAGCGACAGGACATTGAGACTCTGTTTGGCACCTTACATCCCACCGTTAAGCCCACAGGCCTTGTTTTTAGACAGACAGCAAAGCCTACGGGCCTTTTCGCATGATTCGTAATGTTTTCCATTGCATTGAACTCTAGGGTGAAAAGTGGCAACTAAAGTGTTGTTCCTTCGCAGACTTTGATAAATGAATTCACATTCACACACTATATGAAAACTTGCCACATCAGCATGGCTATATAAAACAAGTTTGGGGACTTCCATTGGAGAAGGCGCAGGTGTGGTTTTGAAAGTGTACTGTACATGAGGGCATGGCCTTGCCGAAAAGACTGGGATACTACAAGTTGCTCTCAGTATTCATGAAGTTTAGGAATAAGCACTGAATAGGAAGCCGTTTCACAATTGCCTGGAGGGTGGATTTTTAGAAATTGTAAACATAAGAGAAAAACCTGATTGGATTTCTGCCGAGAGAAGCTCTCTGTGTTCATGATGTGGAATCTTGGTTTGAGGGGAGCATTGTAAAATCTAATTAACAGCAGTTTTACTCTATTTCAGTGCTTATGCTGATAATTATTTAGAGTGAAGACAGGTTGTTTGCCCTGTGGGAGCAGCCTGAAACATAAGCTGTATAAGATCTCTGGTTTACTTTAGAATTTTGTTTATATTTATTATTTAAATGAGGTAGAAAGCAGCAATTGCATTAAAGAAAAATAGTTCATCCAAATACACAAATTCTGTCTTTAATTATTCAAGGATGTAATCATGAATTATTGTCAAGTAATAAATAATTATTGTCACACAGTCATCAGTAGGAAAGTACAAATCAATCAGTAATTCTTCGGATCATATGCCTGCAAAATGTGTTTATGAATATATGGAGTTACATTATAGCTGTTTAACTTCCAGTGCACATGTTCTTTTCTTGAAGAAAAACAGTGAACAAAAAACTGCAAAGAAGTCTTAATAGTTATTAAAATATATATATATATAAAAATATGCAAACTACTGTTTAAAAGTTTGGGGTCAGTAAGTTTTTTAACATTTCTTTCTTTTTTTAAATAAATTAATATTTCAGCAATCTTTTAGTCAGCAAGGATGCATTAAATTGATCAAAAGTGACAGTAAAGATATAAGTTACAAAATATTTTGATTTCAAATAAATGCTGTTCTTTTGAACTTTCTATTAATCAAAGAAACCTGAAAAAAAATCTATCACTACTTTAAAAAAAATGTGAAGCAGCAAAACTGTTTTCAACATTGATAATAATCAGAAATGTTTCTTGAGCAGAAAATCAGCATATTAGAATGATTTCTGAAGGATCATGTGACACCGAAGGCAGGAGTACTGACACTGAAAATTCAGCTTTGCCATCAAAGAAATACATACATTCATTCGTTCTGTCTTTTTACCAGTAAAGCGCCATTCACACATCACTTTCAAAATAAATTCTGTGATCTCTTAACGTCTGCACCTCCCGATGTTGTGTTTGTAAACATGGAGGGGTAAACGCGGTCAGAGTTACACATCCATTTTCTTTCTCAATTGTTTCCCTTCACCTAAGCCATAAGCAACTATGTTTACAAGGATACTTGCAGAGCACAATATTTCAGGCACAAATGTGCAAGAAGTGAACAGAATTCAGTGTTCACGTGCATCTGCGTGGCTCTCACCATGTCTACACTGGACGTGAGTGGCACGACAAAATACAATGAGTGAACCCATTATAATCAGTGATGCTGTCACTGGATGCGGTGCGGCACGACAAATCCCCGTCAGTAAACTGATGCCGCGTTCTCTTTATGACGTACTGACACAAAGTTCAAATGATTGGCAACGGTCGCTTTGTCGCGTCCAGTGTAGACAGACTTTGGGGCCGTTCACATGTTGCGCCTAAAAACGCGTTGGAAAACGCCAGTCACGCCGCTTTCTCCTTCTTTCCAAAGCGCTCAGGAGCTTGCTCTTTCGTGGCATCTGCCGTTTCTAAGCAACCGTGACCTGCGCTCTCCACGACGACGCGGAAGTTTCAACAAAGGATTAATGAATTTCCAGCACTGAAAATCCATTGCAGTAGCTCTGCTAATAAATGTATTTACAATGGGTATCCCTGTACAGCTGCCGCGCCCGGTGTAGACACCGTGTCTGTGTGTGAGCAAAGAAAACAATCAGTATAAATATAACGATCAGTAGCCTATACTAAACATCGCACATCCTGCGATGTGACTATCGCGGATGCGCACATCGCGATATCGATGCTGAAACGATATATCGTGCAGCCCTAGTAGGAACGACTTCACAGTGACACGAGATCTCACGGACGAGATCAAACGTGACTAGCGAAGAAAAACAAATAGAGGACAATCAACGTTGTCAGCTGGCTCTCCTGGCGCGCATTCTGTTTTACAGTGAAAAACAAAGTATAAAAAGAATATGGGTGATGTTCTCTGCTTTCATGGCATGTTTGTGGCTGCCAAGTTTCAGCTATAGAAGCACGCAATATCCGGTAGGTGACGTTTGCGCGCTCTCATTGACTATCGCGGGTATCACGTCAGAGGCAGCCTGATCAAGAGTCGTAAATATCAAACATGTTTTGTAATAAAATTTGACTTATTTTATTACTTCACACACAGTATTTTAACTTAACCGCTGCAAGCTATGCTCGTTTTCTTTTGAACATGAACAGATTTGCTGGTACGCAAAACAAGTAGGCCAACAGGAATTCCTTAAGCTTATTGCTGTTACTGTGGCAGCCAACAATAGCACAGCTTAACCCTGTGCACATTTTTATATTTAGCTATATTTAAAAAGTTTCTGTTTAATTAATTCAGTCGATTTTTTTTTACATGTTGCGTCATCTGCATCAGAATGTTATGATTGGCCCAGAGTAGACGTCTTACGTCAGCGCGTTCTGAACTCGTACGTGCTCATACTGCATACACACAGAGCACATTACCAGTAATTTACTGGTAATGTTAGAACGTCTCATACCGGTAAATTGCCAGAACGAATTTACCAGTATTTTTGAAAAGGTCCTGTTCACACATGATCTCTTAACAGTAATTACCAGTAAAGACTGTATGTGTGAAAGGGGCTAATGTTGGCAGGCCAGGCCACATAAAAATATTAATTACTATCCCAACCAGAGAACTGTCTTCAAAAGTATCTACGCTTGTGTTAAACAGCAAGAAAAATCTGCAAATGAGTTTGGAATGACCTAAGGGTGAGTATTGGGGTGAGAATTTTTGGGTGAACTTCAATGAAAGAAAGGTGCAGATAGTCTAAAGAACAAAAGTAGC